TATTTTTTAAAATTTCTCTTTCACTTCTAAAGTATAATTTCATGAGCTACAGAATTGTAGGTTAATGAATATTTTCTCTCAACACTTCTAATATTGCACTCTACTCCTTTTTGTTGCATGGCTTCTGATGAGAAATTGAATATAATTCATGTCCCTTTTCCTCTATAAGGAAAATTTTTTTCCCCCTCCTTTGTCTTATTTCAAGATTTTCTCTTCTACCCCTTTCTATCTTTCTTCTCCTGGTCTTCCCATTACCTATATGTTATATATTGTTTAATTATCATAAAGTCCTTGATTATTCTGTTTTTTAGGTTTGCTTTTATTCTTTTTTCTCTTTGGTTTTCAATATGGGAAATTTCTGTTGGAATATGTTCAACCTCACTGATTCTTTATTTGTGCCCAGTCTACTGATAAGCCCATCAAAGGCTTTCTTGAAGTCCCTCTCTCTTAGGTATCTAGTGTTTCTATAACAGAAATACCACAAGTGGATGGCTTTAATTAACTCTCACAGTTTGGGAGGCTAGAAGTCTCAATTCAGGGCACCAGTTATAAGGAAAGGCTTTCTCTCTCTGTTGGCTCACAGTTTAGGAGGAAGGTACTTGTTTCCTTTTAGTGTCTGTGGGCCCAACATTCATAGGAGATCTACATGTGTCTTGGCATTAATCATACCCTGGGTCTCACTGGTTCACAGCATAGGGACCCTGCGTCCAAAGGACTTTCCATTTCTGGTTTTTCTTTCTTGGCGGTACTGAGGTTCCTCTGTCTCCGTGTGCTTTTCTCTTCTTTTATCTTGTGTAAGATAAAATGTGATGCAGGCCACGCCCCAGGGAAACTTCTCTTACACTGGATCAGAGCTGTGACTTCATTAAAGGTATTGTATCCCAACCTAAAGGAGCTCTGGTGGCATTTTTCCCAAGGCTTTTCACTGCTAACCAGTAGGTTGGTGGTTCAAACCCACCAGCTGATCCATGGAAGGACGATGGGGCACTTTACTTCCATAAAGATGTACCACCTCAGAAAGCCAAAGGGGGTTGCAATGAGTTGGAATCGACTCAGTGGCAGCGAGTTTGGTTTTGGTTTGGTATCCCACCGTCATTCCCTTACATTGGATCAGACCTGTGACCTGAATATAGTTGCCTCACACACCAATCCTCTTACACCATATTACATCATGGGGGATGATTATATCATTATATAACTGTCAAATTACATCATTACACAACTGCAAATGAGAATCATGGTACATAGTTGACAGATATTTCAGGGAGACATAATTCAATCCTCCTTTCTTGTTTTAAGCATCCTGTCTCATCTTTAAAAAATATTCAGAGCTCTGAGTGGCCCATTATATAGTACTCCTTTCATGCACAAATTTTGACCAAATGAAAAGTAAAATAAAAGCATGTAGATGGAAGTCAGCATATCACCTTGATATAGATACAAGCTAATCTGAAGGATATAGGTCAGTGTTCAATGTGTAGGCCAATTCCAGAATTAGGCCAACCTACACAATTGCTCATGGGAAAAACTATACTGGGACACTTTTTCCTGGAGTAGAACAACTGCCTCTGGTGGAGCAGCATCTTACATGGTGGTGACATCTAGCAAACTCCAAAGTGAAAGAAAATGAAGTTAGGTCAGCAAAAATTACTGGTTTTTTTTTTTTTTTGGCTTATACAGAAAATGAATGGTGTTCTGGTTACCTAATGCTGCTCTGACAGGAATATACCACACATGGGATGGCTTCAACAAACAGGAGTTTATTCTCTTACAGTTTGGGAGGCTAGATGTCCGAGTTCAAAGTGCCAGGCTCTAGAGACTGGATGAAAGCCCCTCGACCTCTTGCTTCCAGCCCACTGAAGCTGGAGGCTTTTCTTCACTAAGCTGCTGGCTGCTGAGGCTGACAAACCCAAGATTGACAAGCAACAAGGCACAGTCCCGATATTACCAAACCACACAGCAGGCCATTATTAATTCAAGTCCATTAAAGTCCCAAGATTGGCAGAGTCTGGCAGGCTGCTGAACAACGACACAGCTACATGCAGGGTTCGAAGGTGCCATAAGCTAGAGTCCATTCCCAAAGCTGTTTCTTATATATGGGAAGCAGACCACATACCCAAAGCAGCTACCCACTTGCTGCAGTAGATTCCATCATGGAGTTTATTACCAATCCACCATGGGGAATAACTACATTCAGCTGCCCGGCCACTCACCCAGGCCTAGCCAAGTTGACACACAAACTGAACTACCACAGATGGATATTAGAGAATGACTGTGGATTACTGTAAATTTAATCAGAAGCTAGAAGTCCTTGGGTGGTGGTGGTAAAAATGGTTCTATGCTGGACTACTAACTGAAATGTTGGTGGCTCAAACCTACTCAGAGGCTTTTCAGAAGTAAGGCCTGGTGATCTGCTTCCCAAAGGTCACAGCTTCGAAAACCCTATGGAGCAGTTCCATTTTGCGTACTCGGGGCACCATGAGTTAGAAGTGACTCAGCAGCAACTAACAACAATTTTAAGGCAGCAGCTCCAACTAAAACTGCTTTACTATGTGAAGAATCTTTACTAGTGTTAATTTGTATTTTATTCTCCAGACCTATTGGAGATAAAAAGGATCTTTAAAATAGTTATTGAGTTAAAGAACCTTGGAGGCTTCGACCTGGGGTTGGGGGGCTGTTTAACATTCTTATCTCCTCTGTCTTTGTTGGAATGCACATACACATTTCTGCTGGCATAGCTGTTTTGATTTGTCCATTTGCTAAGAAGTTTTAGTTCAGACATTAAACAAACTTTGTTGAATAGATAAGTTTAAAGATTTAGGCTTTGTACATTTTGCTCTATATGATCTGATGATATGTCAAAACATAAAGAGAGTGTTTGTTTGTTTTGCCCCCTTTTTCCTTTTTACAGTTTTTTCTCTCTCTGCCCTTTGCTTTTCTATAAAAACTCTCAGCTTGTTTTTATTCAGGGAAATACCTCTTAGTTTTTGCTAGAAGATGTGTTTCCATCCACATATCTTTTTAGAATCAAATAACTTATAAAATTTACCTTGTTAGAATTAAAAAAACAAAATAAAACAAAAGCAACAGCAACAAAAAAAACTGGGATAAATCATCACTCCCTAATACCTGTTATGTTGCTATTAATATTGAACATATTTTCCCCTTTATAACAGTTTGTAAGAACCACCAAAATAGTTTACTGTTACCTAACAAGACATAGTACACCTTCATAATTTTGCATTCTAAACCAAACCCAGTGCTATGGAGTTGATTCCAACTCATATCAACCCTATAAGACAGAGTAGAATTGCCTCTACATGGTTTCCAAGGCTCTAATTCTTTATGGAAGCAGACTGCCACATCTTTTTCCTATGGAGCGGCTGGTAAGTTCAAATCTCTGAACTTTCAGTTAGCAGTTGAATGCTTTAACCACTGTTCCACTAGAGGCGTAAGTCAAATCTGTTTTCATGCTCTCTTCCACAAGTTCAGGAGAGATTTTTAAGCATCTAAACATCCCACAGAACATCACACTGGTCTACCATATTGATTACATTATGCTGACAGGACCTGAAGAAAAGGAAGTAGCAGGTTCAGTAGATATCTTAGCAACATGCCTTAGTAAGATGAGACAGTGGTAGAGGTAAATCCCATCCCAGAACCAAGCAACATGCTATTAGGAATTCAGTCCAGAAAACAAATAATTTCACGTGTTCAACAAAAATTTAATATACGGAATAGTTAAAATAGATGTTTAAGAACAGCAAAACTAAAATATGAGCATCAAATTAACACAAAGGTAGACACTTTAGGAAGCAATGGTCTCCCCTAGTGCTAGAAAACAAAAGGAAGAAGTTGTTACAAGCAATTAGAAGCTTGGTAAAAAAGCCTTATAGACTCAGATTTCCGGGGAGGGTGTGTACCAAGCTGGTGCTGATCTTCAGGAATCTAGAGGACAGGCCCCAGAGTAAAATCTGGGACTCAGAACTTCAAAGGAAGGCTATTTCTCAGCTGTTGCTAAGACCTCTGAGGGACTGTGATGAAACCTGCTCTAAGAGTCCTAAAAAAAACTTGGAGACCAAAACCAGCTACTCATGCCAGTTGGAAATTTGTTGCTGTGGTGACAACGATATGAATACCAAGCAAACAGGAAACAGCAAATCCTTTTTGTCTCCTAGTCTCCCTAGCTCCTCTTAGGGCAGAATTTACCAAAATGCCTGGTAAATGAGAAATGAGATTACAGAGTTATGGATCAGTGCCTGATACATAATTGGGACTCAATAAACATTTGTTGCATGAATAAATGGATCGTGTTTACTAGGACATCTTCATGAAGTGTGGAAATATAACTTACAATTTGTTTTAAATTACTATGTAATTTTCACGAACACTTTATGTAATAATTAAGGAAGCAGGCATACTAATATTTGCAGACATTAAACATTTGTTAACATCAATTTTGCAGAAAGCCTAAGGCATTTGATTACTAACCAGAAGGTTGGTGATTCAAACCCACCAGCCACTCCTCTGGAGGACCACTGGACAATCTACTTCCGTAGAGCTACTGCCTCGGAAACCCAAGGAGTGGTCTCCAGGAGTCCCAATAGACTGGACAGCAGCAATTTTTTCTATTTAGGAAAAAAAAAAAAAAAGCTTATCTTTTCCAATTCTCAAACCAAAACTGTCTGTGTCCTCTAGTGTCTCCTAAGCTTCCCAAATGCTTGATTGAAAATAAGACTTGACAGGGTAGAAACCACAAACTTAAAATGAAAACTTATGAGCCAAGAAATTAAAATAAAATAAACAAAAAAGTAGGCTGCAAGTGAATGAGTCCCACAAATATTGAGATTGAAAGCTGCCCAAGATTGAAGCTCCCCAGTCTGCACCCACCGCCAAAGGGCCCAGAAAGTGAGTTCCAAATCTCAGCATCAGGCCCCGCACAGACTGCAGTTGCCCAGGAAGCCCTGCAGTAGGTGCTAAAGTGCTGCGGCGCCCACGTGAGGCCCTGCCCCGCCGCGCTAAGGCCCTGCAGTTCCAATGCTATTGCCACAGAAACCCAGAAAGCAACATGGCTGCCGCCGGCGAGGGAGAAAGGCATGTGACGCTGCCGGCGGCAGCGGTCACCGAGACAGCTCCACTTTCGGCACAGCCAGCTGCTCCCATACAACGGAAGCCTAAAAAGGGTCTGGTCTATCCACACCCCCCGAGAAGATCCCGCCTGTCTCGGTCCGTTCTGCGCTGGCTCCAGGGCTTGGATCTCAGCTTCTTTCCCAGGAATATTAACAGGTGCTCCAGCGAGCTGGGCCCAGTCTCCTCAGGCTGGCACATCCAGCCTGACTCGCCGAGAGATACGTGGCTGCCTCGGGTCTGCAGCCCCATCCGCCGCAGCGCTAGGCGCCAGTGTCTCGGATTGCGTCCCCGGGCCTGGTTTATGTTTCAGATCACTCCTACACAGATGCGGAGGAGCTCTGGTAGCGTAGTGCCTAAGGCACTTGACTGCTACCCAGAAAGCTGGCGGTTCAAACCCACCAGCCACTCCTAGGAAGGAAAGTTGGGCAATCTACTTCCTTAGTGATTCGGCCTCGGTAACCCAAGGAGGGGTCGCTATGAGTCCGGTCCGACTCCACTGCACATAACAACACAGACGCGGAGACGCAAATACACTTTCCCCCTCTGGGGAGTGGTGCTGAAAAAGCAGATATGATGAAGTATTTCATCCATCCATCCATCCGTTCATTCATTCACTCAATCAGCCAATGTTATTTATTGTACACTTAATACCGAAGGCTTTGGTGACTGCAAAAGGATTAAAATAGTCAAGGCTCTTTCTTCAGGAATACCGGACATTAATACTTGGGGGAACCAGTCTACCCTTCATTGGAGATGGCATCTAGTTTGAGGGTTATTAGGAATTTTTAAAAACTCGCTTAACTGTAGCCACCCCGAACTTAACTGGCAGTTCATATTTGCTCTGAGAATGCAAACTAAATTCTATAAAAATTAGGACGACGAATTTTTTCAGGCAAGGATGCTGGTTTACTAATTTCAGTACAAAGATGCTTCTGAAATTTTAACGTGCATATGAATCACCTGGGAATCTTGCAGATTCGGTACAAATTAATAGTTTTGGTTCATGAAAAGAACACCAAAGCCTTGGGTATGCGTATAATCTTAAAAAAAAAAAAAAAAGAAGGTGGGAGGAGGGAGAGAGAGACGGAGAGAGAACGAAAGAAAGGAGCCCTTGACATCCAGCTGCTTAAGACTCATGGTGACCCCACATACTAGAGTAGAACTGCTCCACAGGGTTTTCTGGGCTGTAATCTTTAGTGAAGCAGAGGGCCATGCCTTTTCTTTTGTGACCTGAGTTTGAACCAAAAACCAAAATGCTATTCTGTAACAGGGATCCACACCAGAGCAAAGAGCCAGCAAAACTCTAATTTTCTAATTTATTTCCTGCCAGTATGGAATATTAGTGTTAATTAACTATAAAACAACACAAACTTTATAATAAACTACATTGATTTTATTTTTTTATTGCTCTGGAGCAGGGACTTTTCAAATGGCTTCCTGATTGCAGAAATATTCAGTATATATTTCCCTTGGGACCTTAAATTATCATCCTTTGAAAATGGAACCTCTTTAAAAGTCAAGTTGGATAACTGGGCACAGTTGGAGAAGGTACTTTAGCAATCATTTACACATTTACCTGTTAAGGAATTTATGTGGGTTAAAATTTATTTTTAAAAGTGCACTCCTGATGTCTTGGATATCTATATTTATGTACGTGTGACGATGTGCTGGAATGAAATGCTACTAGTGCGTTGGCAGTGTGTCCCCATGTATTACAAAGTAGGTTATTAAATTTCAAGTGCTTATGCCATGACACCCCCATGAAACAAAGCACTCATTTCAAATTAAGATGGAGTATAAAGGTCAGCTTTCTTGCTGAATAATAATATCATTTAATAATAAAAACATTAAACATAAGAAAATTATTTAAACATAAATAAAAAAGGCATAAAAGTGAATTTGTGAGCAACTGGATATTTTTATAGAACTTTTTATGATGAAATTTTTTTTCTACTATTAAAGTTCCTGGCAAGAAAAAAATTCAAATTACCTAATGAACTAATCCATGGAACTATTCATTGCAAATTTGGAGTACCTGAAATACTGATAGAAGAGGTTTACACTTTGTTAACACACCGAGAGTAAGTTATTTGGAATTTTCTAGTAATATAATTTAACATGAATCATTTAATAATGTAAATCTCGTTATTACTATGTCTTGTAAGTAGTATTTAATTTTATGTTGTATTTCCAGAGTTAAAAGTATCCAGGATGACCTTGTGAATTTCACCGACTATAGTTACCAGATGCATTTACCGCTGGTTCCCAGATCTACAGCTTCAAAGTCTATTAAAGATAACATTCGGCTCTCAGAATTACTAAGCAATCCCAACATGCTCAGCAATGAGCTTAAAGTAGAGTTCCTCTTCCTTTTACAAATGTTGCAAAGAAAATTAAGCAGAAAATTGAATCCAAGTAAGTATTTCTTGGAAGCAGTCAACTGTTTTTTTCTAAGTTTAATAAGAGTATTCTTGAGACCAAATAAAAGAAAACCCTGCCACTGTCCTATTACTGTTTTCTTCTGCCATTGGTTCAAACTGCCAACCTTTTATTTAGCAGCTGAGGGTTTTAACCACTGTGCCACCAGGGATCTATATGACTAACAACAAGATGTCAAACAAGCAAACAAGGGACAGTGGTAAGTGCAGTTTATTATAACTCAAATATGTCATAAGTCAGGGAGTGACTGTACTAAGGTAAGGATTAACACTGATCATACTCTGTAAAGCATCTAGAGTGAAATAGGAAAGAGGAAATACCTTTTTTTATGCTATCAGTAGAATGGTTGCTTATTACCACATAAGTAGTTTAAGTTATAATTCGTTCCCTATCAGGAAAGTATAGGTCAATATAGTGTACAGACACTTTTTAGAAAAATATTAGCCAATTTTTTCATGCAAAATTTTGTGGGAAACAAGTTCACATATCAACTCAAGTAACTAAAGAGAATTAGAATGTTTGAGAGTTCGTCAGGAAGTAAGTACATTATGAAAAACTCTATTACCATGATTCACTCTAGATGCTTTACAGAGTATGATCAGTGTTATCCTTACCTTAGTACAGTCACTCCCTGACTTATGACATATTTGAGTTACAACAAACTGCACTTACCACTGTCCCTTGTTTGCTTGTTTGACATCTTGTTGTTAGTCATATAGATCCCTGGTGGCACAGTGGTTAAAACCCTCAGCTGCTAACTAAAAGGCTAGCAGTTCGAACCTGCCATCTGCTTTGCATCAGGAAGATGTGGCGGTGTACTTCTGTAAAAGATATACAGCCTTGGAAAACATATGGAGCAATTCTACTCTGTTTTATATGGTCACCGAGTCGGAATAGACTCAACAGTAGTAGTTTATAGTTAGAAATATGTGCTACTAAAATATTGCAGCTGTAATTTACTGATGTTATTGTTCTCAGATGTAATGTTTCCAGCCCCCAAAGACAAATAAAGATAGGATTTATAAAGATACTGATAATAAAAAGCAGTAATAATGAAAACAAACAAACAAAATAGGTATTCTATTTAGTCAGAACCACTTATGATGGAGTCCTTGGAACAGAAACTTGTCGTAAATCAGGGACTACCTGTAGATGTCACTTTGAAGACTGAGGTGCCCCTGACCCAAGCCATGGTATTTTCAATCACCTCAAATGCATGTGAGAGCTGGACAATGAATAAGGAAGACTGAAGAAGAATTGATGCATTTGAGTTGTGATGTTGGCAAAGAATATTGAATGTACCATGGACTTCCAGAAGAATGAAAAAATCTGTCCTGGAGGAAGTACAGCTGGAATGCTCTTTAGAAGCAAGAATGGCGAGACTTCGTCTCACCTATTTTGTTCTATCATCAGAAGGGACCATTCCCTGGAGAAGGATATCATGCTTGGGAAAGTGGAGGGTCATCAAAAAAGGGGAAGGCCCTCAACGAGATGGATTGACAGAGGAGATGCAATGAGGGGCTCAAGCATGGCAGTGATTGTGAGAATGAAGTGGGAATGATCAGCAGTTGGGTCTGTTGTATATATTATGTACATGCTGTGAGTCAGAACTGAGTTGACAACACCTAACAACAACAACAACATGTAGCCTGCTGGTATATAGAAGTTAGGGCAGATCGGCGCAACCTAGGGCAACTTTCTAGAGGTATCACAGGAATAATTCTCAGCATTTGCCATCAAAGTCCTAGGCAGACAACAAAGTAAGTGATTTTTTTCTTCTTGCTTTGCTAACATTCATTCAGGACACCAGTCCTGTTTTAAAATCTTATCTCCCTTGATTCCAGACACCTAATAATCTCAGGATTTCCATTGGCCCAAAACCATTTAGGCAATAAAGCAGATGTAGGTCATTAAAATTTCTCTTCCTTTTGGACTCTGTTTTCCAAAGAGAAAAACCTATCAATCTCTGGTCTGTGGAAGTAGGAAAGCAGCAACTTTAACTTACCCAAACTTGTGAAATATATATTTTGGGTTTTGTTCTCCTTTGCTCTGTGCATACTTTCATATCCTATCACTTCTTGTTCCTCTCCTTGACTCACTCTCATCTCTGGCTCTATTCATGAATTCCCCAGTAAAGAATAAAATATTAATTCTGTTATAGAATTTCATATTCAAATATGTTTTTAAACATATTAAAATTTTGTTGTGAAATTCAGCATACATGCATGCAAATAATGTGTACAATTTAAAGAAGACTAATAAGAAAGAGGGACCTCAGGTAGCATAGTGCCTAAGGCACTTGACTGCTAACCAGAAGGCTGGCGGTTCAAACCCACCAGCCACTCCTTGGAAGGAAGATGGGGCAATCTACTTCCGTAGTGATACTGCCTCAGCAAACCAAGGAGGGGTCGCTATGAGTCGGGTCCGACTTGATGGCATGTAACAACAACAATAAGAGAATAAACATTTCATATCCTTGTGTAGTTTAAGAAATGGAACATTACCAGTAACTTTGCATTCCCTTGTGTGTCTGTCTGATTGCATTCTCTACACTCCCCTCCAAGGTAATCACTCTCCTTCTGCCTTTGATTATAACTTCCTTGAGTTTTAATACTATTCATATGTTATTTTTTATTTCATTCATATATACTTCTTAATATTAATGTAGTAGATTTTATCAGACTTTATAATAAGCACAGAATAATTTCCCCAAGTTATCCATGCTCTGTTCCCTGAGACCTGTGAAAATTTTGCATTATATGGCAAAAGGGACTTTGCAGGTATAAAATCACAGACCTTAAAATAGGGAAATTATCCTGGATTATTATGTGGTTCCAGTCTAATCACCCTTAAAAGGAGAGATCTTTCTCCATCTGGGATCATAGATGAGGCAGAAGGCCAACCAAAAGAGATTCGAAGTGTGAGAGGGCTTGGCCCTGCCATTGCTAGAGGAGTATTGTGATAAGCATGAGTTGGTACATGGTGTGGCCTATACGTCAAGAATAGCCTTTGACTGACAGACAGCTAACAAGAAAAAGGGACCTTAGTGTCACAACTTAAAGGAACTGAATTCAGCCAACAACTTGAATGAGGCTGGAAGCAGATTAATTGCCACAGCTTCCAGAAAGGAATTTCTCCCTGCTAACACTTTGATTTGAACCTTGTGAGACTCAAAACAGAGGACCCAGACTTCTGTACCAAGATTTCTAACATACAAAACTGGGGGTGGGGAGTGAGTGTTGTTTTAGATCACTAGATTTGTTGTAATTTGTTATGGTAGAAATGAGAAAGTAGTACAAACTTTGTATCTACTACCACTGTATCATGAGGTTATATTTTATCCCATATCTAAACTTAATAAACTTTAGCCCTTCACTTTTAAGCTCTGAATTCATCTGTAATTGATATGGTAAAAAATGATTTTTTCAACATCTTTTTAAAAAATATTTTTATTGTGATTTGAGTGAAAGTTTACAGAGCAAATTCACTTTCCATACAGCAGCTCATATACACTTTGTCTCATGACATTGACTGCAATTTCCCACAATGCAACAGCTCCTCTCCCATTACCTCCCCACAGTTACCTCTCCCCTGTGTCCTTCCCTTCCATGCACTCCTGCCCCCTGAGCTGTCTCCCTGTGCATACACAGCCCTTCTGTTCTCCCATGATTGATCCCTCCAAGGAGTCTGTCTACCCAATGTAAATATTCATTCAACATCAATTTTGAAGTCTGTTCTTCCCCACTGTTTTGCATTGCCCTGCCATGTTTCAAGTTTCTGTGTATGTATGGGTCTCTTTTTTCAACTTTGTTTACATGTGTGCCATTTCAATACCCTAATTGTCTTCATTACTATTGCTTTCTGGTAAGTTGATATTTGATAAAGCAAGTCACCTAAATTGTTCTTCTGTGATGTATCCTGTTTCATGAATTCTTAAATAGTATCTTGAATAGTGCTCTGTTAGCACCAGTTTTAGGAACACTGGTGGCACAGTGGTTAAAGCATTTGGCTGCTAACCAAAGGTTGACAGTACAAACCCATCAGCCATTCCAGGGGAGAAAGATGAGGCAGTCTGCTTCCATAAAGATTTACAGTCTTGGAAACCCTCTGGGACAGTTCTGCTCTGTCATAAAGGGTAGTTATGAATTGGAATCAACTCAATAGCAGTGGGTTTCATTTGGTTGGATCACCCGTTTTGATTCTTGAGACTGTTGATCTTAAAAGTTTCTTATCTGTTGTCAAAGTAATTGTTGTGATAGTCATAGTTCTGGGAATGTTAATGAGCAGGCCTGTGTTTAGCATTAAATAAAATTGTAACAGGCATGACTAATCAGTAGAAATTAACTTAGACACTTCTTCAAGTTTCAGTGAAGGGTGAGCTGCAAAGGGGTAAGTTATCTTTAGAAGCACAGGAAAAGTGATGCCAGTGTGTGGTAGTTAATAGTCAATATATTTATAGGAAACATGGAAATAATTTTACATCACTATTTGAAGTATAAAAAATCTGCAAAATGAAGTAAGTACTGTATGATTTTATTTATATGAAATATCAAATAGCAAAAGTAACTTATGATGACAGAAATGAAAATAGTGTTTTTCTTTGAGGGTAGTGTCTAAGAGGAACAGGAAGGAGATTTTGGGGTCCTGGTAATGTATTATTTCTTGATCTGGGTGATGCTTCTCCATTATATTCACTCCAAAAACTCACCAAGCTATAAACTTTTGAATTGTACATTTTTCTGCATATATGTATGTTATTGAACACAAACTTATGAAAAAACTAATATGAACATAAAGATACCATCTTCAAGTTTTTCTAAATATTCAAGACTTCTATTTTTTATCCTCCAGTCATTTTTTGGTTTGCATTATTTTAACGCCTCATGCTCTTCTAATCAGCTAAAGAGTAGACTGTGTAAGTAAAGATTTTGTGAGTTAAAGGTATTGTGAAAATGATTGTGTGGGACCCTGGGGGTTATTAACCTATGTAGTCATATTCTATGATATTAAAAATATGTCTAAAAATGTCACTTAATTTTTAAATTATGACATTTTGAAAATGACTATTGTGACCTTTTAAGAAACAAGTTTTTGTGTTTATATTTATAGAATGGTTTGAGGTCAAACCTACAGTTGGAGAACTTACTCTCCATCATCTTCCACCCCAACCTACTGAGCACAGAAATAATTCAGTGATTTCAAAAAATGTAACTGCTCCTGCTGTATGTAAGTTTATTGCTTGTTCATTTTTTTTACCTGTTAAAATGGATTTCGAGGAAGGCTTTACTTTTTTTTTTTTAATTAATTTAATTGAAGTGTTGGTGTAGACATTCCATCTAAAGCTGTGTGTCAGACTGGTAAGCTAGTGTGCTTTTTGATAGGTGGAAAGGGCAGGTGGGCAGCTAAGTACCAATCATGCCAAGGCAGGTTCCACTACTACTACTGGATTCATTTCAGTTCTGATTTATCCTTAAATAGGTGAGTCTGAAACAGGTGAAGTTTTTTTTCCAATCTCTAGCAGCTGGAGAATGATTCGGTCCTAAATTATAGCTACTTGCCCACCTAGATTTCTCAACCACCTGCATTACAAGAAGAGACTGGTTAAAACTCTGTTAATTCAGAAAGCATTTATATTATTGCAAACAAAGGTCTATGGGCCAAATTCAGCCTGCCCTGTTTTTTACCACCAGCGGTTCTGTAGGAGAAAGATGACAGGCTGCTTCTGGAAAGATCTGCAGCCTTGGAAACTCCATGAGACAGTGCTACTCTGCCCCAAAGGGTCACTATGAGTTGCACTTGACTCGATGGCTGTGGTTTGGTTTTTTCGGTTTATCATTACTTAACATCAAGACTCTAAGTTGAATGGATATTTTGCCTTTAAAATTTAATCATGCATGAACTGTTGTATATAACTCCCCCTCCGTTTCATTCTCTTCACGCTTTCTTTCATAACTCCCTGGACACTTTCTTTTATGATTAACTTTTACTTCAATGGTCTTTCCCTTTCCTTTTCAAAATGGTTGATGGGCTTCTGAAAGTCTTCAAAGGACAAGGAAGATTCTTTCTTTTTTTTTTCACTTTTCTCAATCCTCTCCCAGATACTTGGATTTTCGTAGTCTAAGCTGACTTTTGTAATTATATGGATTGAGAACTCTTTGGCTAAGCTTTAACTTTTTTTTTCTTCCCCTCCAAATTTGGTAAAGGGATCCCATTTCAGTTATTTCTGATAAAAGGGTAGTTCAGGTCAGCTCATATAACTTGAAGGTAAATGGGGTTAGGAGAGGTAAGAATACCAGACTTTAGAATTTAACCCTATTTTACCACCTAAAATTGCACTTAATGACCCTGAAATCATAGACTGTTAATCCAAAAAGTTTCTTATTATCAAAGAGGTTTGCCAAAATGAATTGTGAGACACATTGTTACCCTTGCTTTTTATTCATTTTTTTTAACCCTTAACTTTCTCCTTTACCTAAGTCTAGCATCTATCAAAATAGTGAGCCAAGGGAGCACTGGTTACTTCGTTACCATGGCTCCTTACATTAGACCTGAGTGACCCAGAGAGTCTGGGTGGCCAGCCTGGATGCCTCAGTGCAACCAGAGTTCCAGAAACTGAATTAGGAATTATGTAGATGTGCCAAATCTACATAAAAAACCATGGCACTATTGCCTCAGCTGCTTTCTGAAGCAGTGTCTAAAATTAGTTGACTCATATTCTGTATCAGATGCACCAGAGTAAGATCAGGCTATTTTCAGGCACTGTTTATGACTTTTGGAGGTGGGTGACATTCAGATTTTTTTAACCATGACTACTACAATGCATGCTTTAAGTATTCTGTTTACCAGGCACTTAATCTGTACTTAGCCTGTTGCCAATCATTCTATTTGGAAACATTGATGCTTGTGTGAATATTTAATAACCATGAACTGATTTGAATTTTGTTTTATTTAAAACTTTCATCAGATACAGGTAATGGTGGTAATCTACTTAGAGAAATTCAAAGAAAAGCTGAAGAACATTCTTTTGGGTCTGTAATAAAATCTATCAGAAAAATTGAGAAGAAAACTTGCGAAGCACCTGTCAAAAGTTACATGATTTTGAAGAAATGATGCCATCATCTCTTGCCATACTAACGGGTCCAATCACCTAGTCTTGGATATATTTCAATAATATTCAAATTAAAATGGTATCTCATCCATAACTGGGCTAAAGAACATCTCTTTTCAGTTCAACAATCATTTATTAAACACCTTTCATGTGCCAGTTACTGCTGAAAATTCAAGATCAAGTTAATTAGTACAGGACAAACAAAAATAATTTTAAAGCTATAGTTACACATAATTCACCATGAGGAGTTAGTAAGAGTTCCTCATATCTTGTGAAGGAATGGTAATCTACTTTGTAATATAATTTAAAAAGCAACCATGGTACTTTACCTATCATCATGACTTATATATCACATCATTAATTAAAATTTAATTCTGAAAGATTATTATTTTATGTTGGCCATAGAAAAATCCTGCCCATCTCCATGAGTAGGCTTAATCTAAACCATACTTACAAATAAGTGCTCCTTCTGTTGATAATGATGAGTTGTAAGGAGGAAGACTCATGCTTTTCTTGGAACTTGGTTCTGGTGCTTAGTAATTGATTCAGTTCAATTTAAAATTTTCTATCTACCATTGCCATGCCCCACATTCTTAATGAAGGGAATGCAAACTATTTTGATATTTCGAAAGACTATCTTTCAGATATTCTTGGAAATTTTATATTTGTATCTGGAAATTTTCCTTTAACTGGAAGTACTCATTATGTTAATGCTATCTCAAAAACAGCCTCATCTGGCTTCTAAGATGAACATTATAATACTGAATCTCACAATAAGCATGTCATATTCCAGCCAAACTTTATTTTTTCTGTATTTTTGAAGGTTTAGACACTTTTGTTAGTATTTCTACCTCCAGAGAGTGTCTTATTTTACATTTTTAGATAGTTGGAAAATGTAAACAGACCCTAATGGTACTAGATGATTTCTTTGAACTATGTTTAGAATCCAGTTTTACCTGGGATAAACCACAGATGCCTAGGTCAAGTGCACGTCTTAACCAGCTATGGTAATTTGCCTGTTGTTTTGCTAGACAATGAAAAAGAAAGACTGAGGGAGAATTGACACACTTGATTTGTGGTGTTGGCAAAGAAAACTGAATATACCATGCATTGCCAGAAGAACTTAACAAATCAGTATTGGAAACAATACAGCAAGAAGGCCCCTTAGAAGTGAGGATGGCCAGACTTTGTTTTACTTATTTTAGATACATCATGAGGAAAGAGAAATTGCTGGGAAAAGACACCATGTTTGCTAAAGTGGGTCAGTGAAAACTGAGGAAATTCTCCATGAGATGGAGTGACACGTTGGCTGCAACAATGGGCTCAAACATATCAACTGTGTGGATGGTACATGACTATGCAGCGTTTCCTTCTGTTATATAGAAGGTCAGAGCCAATGGCAGTGAACAACAACAAAGTACAGAGTTATAAGGATAAGCATTTAACCTTTGGTTTCCTAGGAAAGAGTTTTAGAAACAAGTCTTCTATAATTTAGTTAGGGAAAAGATCCTGAGAAAAGGATTAAGTTTGGGTAAATGTCAATAAGTTTCTTTGTTCTCTGGTGTCCTTTTTCAATCTTCTGAAAAAGCTAGTCACTCGTGGGCTGGCTATGGCAAATCTCTAAGACTTTCTGAGAGGCAAGTTGTGAAGAATATGAAATAGTTTGCAGGCTTCATCCTGTAGTGAATGAGTAAATGGAGGTAGCAGGTACGGTCAAAGTGAGAACCCTCAAGAGCTTCTTGAGGATGAATTATATCAACAGAAGCCAATACTACAGGCAACTCTGAGAAAATAATTTAGTTCCTAAATTATCTTTGATAGAAGGAAACAATGGGCTTTTCTAGGAGTTATACCCATCATTATAGGAACAGAACCTTTTCAGTCAGCATTGACTGCTTATTGTAGGAATAGAAGCTACTACGATATGTTAATCAGTAAGTACTTTTCCCCTTTTGTACTAATTTTGGGGCATATTGTAGTCAGTACAGCCTACACATGGACAATCACCCTGCTGAGGAATCCAGTAAGGTGATTTCCCTAGATTTTTGGGTAGGATAATATCCTAGATGGACAGCCTGGCCCTTAGAACCTATGGTGACTCTGACCCAGCATTTATGGAGAAACAGTGATCTCTCAATGGTGGCTGCAGAGGTGAGCATGCCTCTCATCTTAGTAGTTAACTGTGCCATATCAGGCTTAACTGAGTATTTTTTGTTTTTTTAATTTAGGGGGCCTGAAATACATACATATAAATCTAAATTAACTATATGGCATACTGAAGCACAATCATATTGTATTTAAATTTAGCATGAAAGTACATGTGTTGATTACTTCAGCACACATGTTTAGAAGATTTGGAACAATAATCATTTTTAAGAGCTGACAAGATATCTACTATATTATTGGTAAAATAAATATGAAACAGTGAATTTTACAAATAATTTATGAAGCATTTAAAATACCTTTTGACTTAAGACCATAAAAATATTTATTCTGTCATAAGAGGAACAAAATACAGTCATTGTTCTAATGCAACTATTTCTGTGGTTTCTGAAGATATCGGGATGATTTTATGGGAATTCTCTCTTTCTCTCTCACACACAAACACACGTTGTTGTTGTGTGCTGGCAAGTCAATTCTGACTCATATAGACCCTATATGACAGAGTTAGAACTATCCACACAGTTTCTTTGGCTGTAACCTTTTAGGAGTAGATCACCAGGTCTTTTCTCCTGAAAAGCCACTGGGGTGGGTTCAAATTGTCATCCTTCTGGTAAGCAGCCAAATGCTTAACCATTGTGCCACCAGGGCGCGCGCACACACACACACACACACACACACTCCTTGGAAGGGAGAATGGCCAGACATCGTCTGACCTACTCTGGTCATGTTGTCAGAAGGGGCCATTCCCTGGAGAAGGATATCATGCTTGGTAAAGTGGAGGGTCAGTGAGAAAGGGGAAGACCCTCAACAAGATAGACTGACACTGGTTGAAACAACGGGCTCAGATATAGCAAGGTTAGTGAGGCTGGTGTAGGACCGGGCAGCGTTTTGTTCTGTTGTACATAGGGGTCGCTGTGAGTTGGAGCCAACTCGATGGCACCTAACAACGACAACAACAAAACCTTTACTTTGACTGACATAAAAATCACTTATTTTACCAAAATATAGCTAACTCATTTTGATGTTGTAATTTTAACCAGCTGGTAACTATTACAAGTAAGTTATTTTTCCAATGTTTTCTTTTTTTAAAAAAAAAAAAACACTGTCTGGATACTTCTTACATAAAGGCTATTTAAACCTGCAATATAATTTTGTCCACCTTACTGCTATATGAAGACCTATAAATACTAAATAAGTTCATATTATTTGTTCAGTGTATGAAATCTACCAATGAAAAATTATTTTTTATAAATTAAATAATTGCTTTGTTTTTCATATTAAGGCACAATATATACCAATTGACAGTCAAATGACTTCAATAAAGAATTAATGGTTATAATTATTATAAAGGTATAGAGTATTAAGATCAAAGAATAACAGGATGACATTTGAATCAATCCTATTCTTATTTTACACAAAAATTGGTTTACTCCTCTACTGACTTCATGTGTTAAAAACTTGTATAATCACCCTGTTGTGGTTGTTATGTGCCATTGAGTCAGACCTGACTCATAGTTACCCCTCCTTGGGTTTCCAAGGCAGTATCACTATGGAAGTAGATTGCCCCATCTTCCTTCCCAATAATCACCCTAGCAAAGTTATATTATTTTTCTCATAGGAGCTCTGGTGGTGTACTGCCTAAGGCATTTGACTGCTAACCAGAAGGCTGGTGGTTCAAACCCACCAGGCACTCCTCAGAGCATACCTTATATAAATATTATCCCTCATTCATTAAAAATAAAGAGGGAGAAAGTTATGATTGTTTATGTATGTATAACTTAATGACATACTTTGAGGTATTTAAAGCACAAATAAGTGTAGGTTTATTAATCAATTTTAAAACAAAATTTTAAAAATGACTGCAGGATTTAGATTCACATTTTAAGTGAGGAGATTTATTACAAACACATCTATAAAGAATCTTTCTCACCTAAGAAAAATGTGACTTACACATATCACTTAGAGCAAAAAAAAAAAAATTTCTTTCATACATATTATAATATCCACTGCATCTCTGAGTTGCACACATTCTATTCTATAATATTTATTAATTTACTTTTCATGGAATAGAATTTAAGCCTCCAATATCTTTTTGAGTAGATAAAAATGATCAACACTATAAACATCATGAATAGGACATAATATATATATTGTTTCCTATTCTACAAAGCTTGTTTAAGGAAGTGTTTAAAAGGTTTTAAATGCAACAAGCTTAAAGATAATAAAACTACAATTATTCTAATTATATGATCTCATTCTTTAGTCCAATAAAAACACCTATATTATAAATTCTGTAAAAATACCTTGAGCATCAAAGTATACTTTTTTATCTTGGCATGCATTAATTTCATAAATTTCAATATCAAAATTCTAGTCAGTATTCTAACTGAAATACTTGCAATCACATATTAGGTTATTTACAGCTTTATATTTATAGTCAATATTTTTTAAACAATTAAATTTACAGAATATGTGCTAAATTTCAAGTAATATCTTTTTTATATACAGAAATTTATTTGAAATTCATTTTTATAGAAGAAATTTTGAATTTTAAATAAATACAAATTTATTAGTTTTATTATGTGTACATTAAATGCATTAATCCAAACTAGTATCTATACATACCAAATATTTTTTAAAATAGCCAGTTGTTATCTAATACAAATTCTCATATCTATTTGACTGCATTTTGTGTTTTCACCCCAAATTTTTTTTCATGTTTATTTAATTTTTATAATTAGACAATAAACTTCAGATGAAAACTCGGTAATATTTTCCCTTTTGAAATAAATAGAACAGAAGTATTTGACTATGTATCCATTTATTGATAATTATTAAATTTTTAGCTGATAACTTTTATTAAATATGAACTAAAACTAATGGTGTACTACACATTTTATAAAGGACAATATAGGTGCCTGTTAACTTGAAGATCAACTACGTACACCTTACATTTCAATATATAGAGATAGTCAATCATTCAAATATTCATTAAGTACTTACTGTATGTCAAGAACTATTCTAGGTGTTGTAATATTTTATGTATTTCAATGTTTCAACAATATTAACATGTTGATACTTTTTTCTTTGTGAAACTCTTTATGCTCTCTTATACTATCAATCCCTTATAACAAATAGTAACTTCCTTCCTAGAATGGTTATTTTATAAAAGAGACACGTATTTTTCCTTTAAATTACATAAATATTTTATTTTTTGAAGTGAATGAATAAAATCAACTGTTGTTCTCCACTCCCCACAACATTTGGTTTTGGACAACCAACATTAAGGTAATATTAACCCATAACAGTTCCTCTTTTAAAAAATCATAGTATCATAGAGAAAAACTTTCTGTCAAAATGGATTGAGTCGTATTCCAGTCCCTAGAGGTGAGAATGGATTCACCTTTGCCCACATCAAAGCATCATTCAATGAGATAGTTGATTTTCCATCTTCAAGGAAATATGCAGGGCCCTGCACACAGTAAGAGTTGGGAAATGAGATCATGTGATTATAAATTAGAAACATAATTTTAAATGTCCAGAAATAGAATCACACTAATAAAACATCACTGCTGATAGTTATGCAATCCTAATTGGAAATTAAAACTACAAGAAAAAATTTTTTTTTGAGCTATCACCAAATATAGCTTCATTTTCAAACATCTCAACATTATGTCCTCATGCCCTGATGTCTTTCAAAACGGAATTCAGTTCCATAATCTGAATTTCTAAAATATATTAGTGCTACCAATGAGAACAGGCATTGCTAATCTGTTAATTGTTACAATGTAAATTTCTAAAAAGCATTTTGCCTAGTCATAGACTTAAATTTACTTGACCATTTTAATCATGTAGTTGATGTCAATACAGCTAGGGGAATTATTGAAGCCAGAAAATTTGTACCCACTCTTGAAAAGATGAAGACTGTATTTCTCTGTGTGTTTATGTGTGTATACAAATTCAACCCCATGATCTATTAGCATACTTATAATTTATCAGTCATTATGTATGTCAGAGTAGTTCTGAAGAACTTTCGGACAAAACTTTTTAACCTATATTACTCAGATTTTAAAAAGGAAAAACATGATTTTAAAAAGCACAGAATACAATATAAACTTTATTTTCATAATTATGGTGTAAAACTATTAGGTTCTTTTCACTTCAAATGATACAGTTTATTGTTAGCAAATTATTCCTAGGTATTGGAAAACCCACTATACAAGTAGGTAAAATAGATTCCTATTAACAGGTACTTGACATTTCATAATTATGACCCGAAAATATTAATTTTCTCTTGAAATACAAATATTCTGGAAGTGTAGCACACTATTAAAATGAGTCATTTGCACATTAACATACATTTTGATATATAGATCCTTCATGAATGTAGGTTTGGATAGAGAGAGGTTAGACAGCACATGAAGTCATTCGGCTGTCTCAGGTGGAGAAAAGTAACCTAAAGAGGAAAAAAGGAACACAAAACTGCCAAGTACTAGGAATGTTCTATAAAAGGGCAGCAAGTTGTACCAAAGACACACCCTAAAAATATTCACAATGATTTCTGCACTTTATTATAAGTTATTGAATCTATTACTTTGGTTCTTTATCATTGATAAACAAATGGATAATAAATATGTGTACAACTATGCCTTTGTTTTTGGAATGTGTTTGTGTATTCTGAAAGACTTAACTAGTCTGCAGTGGTAAGTCAATCTACAGTTTCGGTTTACATTAGTAGCAAGCTATGTAATTTACTTTGAGTAATTGTGCCAAACACAAAACAAAACACCTTTTCCGTTGGTTTGGTATGCCAGCAGTAGAAATGAAGTATCGAATTCTGAAAGCGTTCTAATCAGAATTTACTCAGTAAAATGTATTTGTCACTGGGAGGTGGCACTCTCTCATAGTACAATCTGTTGTCTCAGTTGGAATTTCATGGGGGTTCAGCTTTGATTACTTTATGGGAACTCCTACAACAGGTCTTTGTCTTAAAATGACAAAGGTTTCTTTATTTGCTTGAGATAATGGCATTACTAGGAGCTCTGGTGGCCTAGTGCCTAAAGCATTTGACTGCTAACCAGAAGGCTGGGGGTTCAAACCCATCAGCCACTCCTCCGAAGAAAGATCAGGCAAGCTACTTCCATAGAGATACTGCCTCAGAAACCTGAGGAGGGGTCGCTATGAGTTGAATCAAGTCATTCAACTTAGGAGGAGGTATCACTACCGCAGAGGTTTTGGCATCACTTGTTGTCATTCATTTGATTGAACATTAGGGACCATTCCCTGGGAATTAGCCATCTCCATGACTGATCTCAATAATATTTAATTACTGAAAATTTCAGTAGCTCATGTTGTTGTTGTTGTTATTTGCCGTTGAGTCGGCCCCGACTCATAGCGACCCCTCCTTGGGTTTCCGAGGCAGTATCACTACGGAAATAGGATTGCCCAACCTTCCTTCCAAGGAGTGGCTGGTGGGTTTGAACCACCAGCCTTCTGGTTAGCAGTCAAGTGCCTTAGGCACTATGCTACCAGAGCTCCTGTATATGGAGACTAGAAAGGCAAATTCAATCTACTGAAATATGATGCTTTATGGCTGTGTTGATTGTTGTGTTGTCTCCCTCATTTAACTGTAATTTCCCTAAAGATATCACCTGAATGTATTTTTTAAAACCTAATTGTTACTAAGTGTATGTATTACGTTAAATTCTTCTATGACAACAACAACAACATGATGATAGCACAATAATAGTCTCAATTTATTTTAAGGAGAAAGAGGCCATTGTAGGCCTCTTTCTTTTTACTTTTACTTTTACTCATGTTAGGCTTATTTTAAGAGCATATTTTTAAAATGAATAAATAAAAATTATGGAAATGTACATTTTATGCCTGATATTGGACTGTACCTGGATTTTTAATCCTGTAAGGCAAGAGATGTGAATGTCAGAATGACTTGGAAGATTTGATGCAGTCACATAATCTGGTCCAATAATTCCTTTGAGTGGTTCTTCCTTTATTCTCTTTAGTAAAGTTGAATAAACCATTCTTTGTGAATCAGAAGGAGGTGTATATGGAGATTCTTCTGTTAATCTATATTTTCAACATATATTAAAATTTTTGTAAAATTATAGTTATTGAAGTTTACTTTAGAAACAGCCCCTGATGACTATTTAGTTCTGCTTTATAGATGAAGGCAAATCAATTTTATACTTATTTTTTAGTAATGCAAATGACTTTAGAAAGACAGAAAGAATAGCATTATAAATTGTTACTGAATAATTATAAATATATCAAGATTGATTATTCTGTTAAAATTAATAAAACAGTGCACATTGCCAACAAGTTCATCTATAATATTAGATAGTATTTTTTGCATTCCAATTTGTACATTATATTTACTCACTGGTTTATGGACTGTGTGCAAGATATCCATGCATCTAATTCCTCAGAAAGATGTTCAATTTTTAAAGGTACTGATACTTCCCGACGTCTTAATAGCTGACTGAAATATGTGAAAAAGAAATTAACATTTGACATTAAAAATTAAGATATCAAAAAGGGAAATGAATAACAATTTTAGACTTAAAAACTGTAGGGCAAAAATATAGTATGTGTATAAACCAAAAAAAGACTAAACTCACTGCCATTGAGTCAGATCCAACTCCTAGTGACTCCTCCTTGGGTTTCTGAGGAGGTATCACTACAGAGGTTGATTGCCCAACCTTCCTTCCAAGGAATGGCTGGTGGGTTTGAACCACCAGCCTTCTGGTTAGCAGTCAAATACATGACTATACAAATGTCCATGACTCGACGACCAGTTTGTCATACTGTGGTGGTAGCTTGTATATTGCTCTGATGATAGAAAATATGCCACCAGTAAGTCAAACAGCAGCAAGATCACCCACAGTTGACAGGTTTCAGCAGAGCTTCCAGACTAAGACTGATCAGGAAGAAGGACATGAAAACCTAATGAACAGCAGTGAAACACTGTCAGAAATAGTACCAGAAAACATAGCAGTGAGATCGAACAATGTACTGCACTGGGCAAATGTGCTGCAAAAGATCTCTTTAAAGTTTTAATGAACAAAGATGTCCCTTTGAAGCCTAATGTGCTCCTGACCCAAGTCATGGTATTTTCAATAGCCTGATACGTATGTGAAATCTGGACAATAAGGAAGGTGGAAGGAGAACTGATGCCTTTGAATTGTGGTCTTGGCAAAGAATATTGAAAATACCATGCACTATCAGAAGAACAAGCAAATCTGTCTTGGACGAAGTACAGCTGGAATGCTCCTTAGGGGTGAGAATGGCCTGACTTTGTCTCACGTAATTTGGTCATATTGTTAGAAGGGACCAGTCCCTGAAGAAGGATATCATGCTTGGTAAAGTACAGGGTCAGTGAAAAAGAGGAAGAATCTCAATGAGATTGATTGACACAGTGGCTGCAATGATGGGCTCAAGCACAACACCAACTGTGAGGATGGAACAGGGCAGGGCAGTGTTTTGTTCTGTTGCTCACAGGGTTGCTGCGAGTCAGAACCGACTCGATGGCACCTAAGAAGAACAAAAACATACATATACATTACTTAGCAGCTTTTATTCATTAATTTAGATATCACTCCTGCTCCTTTCCCACTCTGCCTGGTGTATGTTAGTTATCTATTTCCTTTGTCTTCTCACAACCTATATTATGGATATTATGACATGTACATATTTTGACATAATTATTATCTTCTGTCTCTATTAACTGGACTGTAAGTTCCATGAAGGCTATGATTATGAGCATCTTACTCATTTGTATACTTAGCATTTAATTCCTTGGCAAATCAGGGTTGTTCTATAAATAATGGATGGATGAGTTGCTGAGTGAGTGAGTGAATACATGAAGTTCATAATGTACGGAGACTGATTATATAAGCCAGGCAATGCTGAATAACAGCTACATCTGGCTACTGCATTGTACAATGCATGTTTGTATTAAAAATAAACACTGCTGCTGCTGCTGCTGAGCTGTTACTGTCAATTGAGTCAGATCTGACTCTTAGCAACCTCTCCTTGGGTTTCTGAGGCGATATCACCACGGAAGTACATTAACAGTAGAGAGGAGTAAGAAAGCAAGTAAGAGAATAGTAACAGAAGAATGTTAACTAATGGGAAGGAGTGGAAATTCTGGTTTTCATTCTTTAAAGACAGAAGTATGTCAAGGAAGCAGTGAAACAGCCAGAGCTGGGATCCATCATATGAATGCATAGAAAATTGAGAAACAGAGACATTATGATCAATTATGAGGCTTTAGATAAAGAATTATTCATCTTAGATTCTATAATAAATTTTAAACTAACTATGTTTTTCAAGGAACCGTTCAATTGAAAATTAAAAGTACAAACTGTTTAGGAGATAAAAAAGAAAGAGAACAAAAGACCATAGAGATAAGGTTATAGTAAAGTCAACATTTCCTCAGTTTACACTTTATGGTTACTTTTGTCAGTTGTCATCTTTCTGCTGGAACATGATAAGAACTGGTGAGGAAAAAAAGGTATACATACTTCCTCCCTCCTAACATTAGAACCCAAATCTAATATGTCATTAACATCATCTGAAATAAATTTAGTAGCTTATCATTTTTTTAATCTAAAAATAATGGATTAAAAAAATTTTGTTGACAATGTGGCTTAAATAATATGGCTTCCCTTTCTACAATAGTTTTTGATGGTTTCTATATAAAGCATTGTTTGGAAGTGAGGAAAAACATCAAGCTAAGTAAGTGGACAAATATCAGAATAGAAAAGTTTACAAATAATTTATTTTGGCTGAAATAGAGATCACGTAAAAGGTACAGTGGAGGATAAGGTTGGAATCCAGTTTTTGTGGGCCTTTAGTAGAAGATTAAGGATTGATAATGTTATTGCTGATAGTGGGGAGACTTGGAAAGTATTTGAATAAGGTTGGTGCTTTAGGAAGGTTATTAAAAGGTAGTGCATAGGATGGACTGACAGTAGAAGGAAAAGGTAGGGTGAGTAAATGTGGGATTACTATAGGTGACAGTTAATGAAGACAATAACTATGGCAAGGAATAAAATGAGAAAAGGTATGGCTGTGGGCATTCATCATAATTGGATGTGGGCAGTATGGGAACAAACATTCAAACCTGACCCTGCTCATTGAATCCTAGATGACTGAAATATCATTAAAAGAAAAACAGAACAAAAGAGAAGTAGTGGATTTGAACAGGGAAATGATGATTTTAATTTTGAGCATACTAAATTTAAGGCTGGAGCTTACTAAGCTTCTGGATATACACAAAGGAGCAGTCAGCAGCTGTCTGAGTGAAGAAATGCCTCTAGCTCCAGTGGGCCAGGAACAGGAGGCAGAGCTGGACCACAAGGTTGAGAGGCTTTCACAAAGCCCCTAGAGCCTGGCACTTTGAACTTGGACTTAAAGTCTCCAAATTGTGAAAGAATAAACTCCTGTTTGTTAAGGCCATCCCATTTGTGGTATATTCTTGTCAGAGCAGCACCAGGTAACCAGAACAATATGTTAGATCCAAATATTTTGAATGTCTGAAATCAAACAATCTTCTCTGACCATAACGGAATGAAGCTAAAAATCAAGCACAGAAGGAAGGCTAGAAAATTCACAAATATGTAGAAATGAAGCAACTTACTCTTAAGTAACCAATGGGTCAAAACAGAAATTACAATAGAAACTAGAAAATACTTAAGTGATTAATGAAAATAAAAATACAATATGCCAAAACTTTGGAGGCACAGCAAAGGCAGTAGTTAGAGGGTAATTTATAGCTGAACATGCCTAATTTAAAAGAAAGATTTCAAATCAATAGCCTAACATTATACCTTGAGAAACTAGAAGAAGCATGGTGAACTAAGTCTAAAGCTAGCAAAAGGGAGGAAATCGTAAAGATTAGAGAAGAAATAAATAGGGAACAGTAAGGAAACAAAATGGCCCTAGGATGAGGAAAATGGTTAAGTGTTCAATTACTACCCAAAAGGTTGGTGGTTTGAAGTCACCCAGAAGCAGCTAGGAAGGTCACAGCCCTGAAAATCCTATGGAGCACAATTCTACTCTGACACAGGGTCATCATGCATTGAATTAACTGGACAGCCACTGACAGCAACAACAACAAAGGCAATAGGGAGAATCAATGAACCAAAAGCTGATTCTTTGGAAAGATCAATAAAGTTGACCAACCATTAGCTGAATTGAGAAAAAGAGAGAGAGAAGACACAACTAAATCCAAAAATGAAAGTGGAGACATTTCTAACACTCTTACAGAAATAACAAGGAAGACAAGAGAATACTATGAACAACTGTATGACAATAAATTAGATAATTAGAAATGTTGATTCCTAGAAATACAAACATTATCAAAACTGACTCCAGAAGAAATATGAAAACCTCAACAGACCTATAACAAGTAAAGAGATTGAATCAGTGAGCTTACCAACAAATATTCAGGACCAGATGGCTTCACTGGTGAATCTAACCAAATATTTAAAGAAGAATAACACCAATCCTTCTTAAGCTCTTCCAAAAATAAAAGAGGTGAGAACACTTCCTAACTCATTCCATGAGGCCAACATTACAGTGATACCAAAGACAAAAATGTCAGAAAAAAATTATAGACCAATATGCCTGATGAATACCAATGCAAAAATCCTCAACAAAATTCTAGCAAACTGAATCCAACAGCATATTAAAATGATTGTACACCATGACCAAGTGGGATTTGTCTTGGGAATGCTAGGGAGGTTCAGTGTAAGAATATCAATTGTTGTAATATATCATATTAATAGAATAAAGGGGGGGAACACATATGACCATCTCAATGCAGAAAGGCATTTGACAAAATCCAACATAATTTAATCCAATTTAATCATAATTTAAAAAAAAAACACTCAGAAAACTAAGAATAGAAGTGAATTTCCTCAACATGATAAGGGCATTTATGAAAAACACACAGTTAATATATTCAGTGGTGAAAGATGGAAAGCTTTCCCTTTAAGATCAGGAACAAGAAAAGGATACCCTCTTTCACCTGTGTTACTCAACTATGTATGAAGTTTTAGCTAGACAATTAAGCATAAAAAGAAAGACAAGATATCCACATTCAAAATGAAGAAGTAAAATTATCTCTATTCACAGGTGATATGATCCTATATATAGAAAATGCCAAAGAATCCACAAGAGAGTTAATAAATTCAGCAAAGATTCAAGGCATAAGATCAACACACAAAAATCGGTTTTGTTTCTATACAACAGCCATGAAAAATCTGAAAAGGAAATTAAAAGATAATTTCATGTCAGTGGCATCTAAAATAATAAAATACCTAGGAATAAATTTAATTGAGAAGGTGAAAGACCTTCTTTACAATGAAAACAAAAATACAATATTGAAAAATTGAAGAAAACCTAAATAAATGGAAAGACATCTACATTCATGGATTAGAAGATTAATTTGTTAAGATGTTGATATTACTCAAC